AACTGTATAATTTCTAATGAACAGTAAGAAGCATCAGAAGAAAAGACGAGTAAGAGTAAAAATGAAAGAACTTTGTTGACGACTCCAATGATGAAGATGTCAGTTGCAAATGATATGAAATGGCTGAATGTCGAAATCACTGGAAGTTGGGATGAATTGTAGAGTAATTTGAAGGCAGTAAGAGAAGATGAAGATGATTTATGGTGGTGAAGTTAAGATGGGATAGGGTTGTTTTTAGATTAATTGGGGGAAGATGAAGTCGTCATGTTTTAGAAACCTACTTCTGGAGCAATCGAAATTCGCCGATAGTTTATTAACAGCGTTGGCTGGTTAAGAAAAAACCAACATCTGAAATCTGGTAGGAGTGATGCCCTTTAGTTTTGAAAGAAAACAATGAAATGTTGGTGTTTTTTTATAGTTAGGTTAGTTGTTTTAGTTGGAGGCATCTGGTTTCTACAAGAGCTTACAAGTGATTTTGATTTTTTTTTAAAATAATATATAACTTTGATGGGGTAGTTTTATAGTGTGGTTGGAATGTTAGACATGGTGATGACGTGGCCAAATTTTCCTACACATCACAGTGTCAAGTCTTCAAGTTTGCCGGTTGACCTTTTGAAATTGAGCAAACTTGTGTAATTGACACGTTTTATATGAGTTAAATGATCTATTGCGCAAAATATATATATATATATATATATATATATATATATATATACCAAAATTTGTTATGCTACATTGACATTTTCCTTTGTTTATAACTGTCATCAATATTTAACAGGGGTTTGGTAGCTAAACATGAACAATATAGACAATGATATAAATTGTATAAAATACTGCAAAAACACAACTAACAATTAAGAGGGATATAAATAAATTCACCCTATAATTTGATTTATGTAATATTTTGAAGTTTGCACTTGACAATATAGAAACCTATATGAAATATAGAGTTTTAGAGTATTTAAAGTATAACATTTTGCAAAAAAATTCCAAAACAACCCTATATTGCTAGTTTAGCAGGGATGATGCGATTTTTTTCACTAAAACCATCAAATTTAACGAACTTTTTATTTATATTCTTGGTAAAAAGTTAATAAATTCACTATTTATTTTATCTTTTATATATTTTTAGAATTTATTTATTTTTATAATTTGATAATTTGATCTATAATAACATGTTCCAAATTTTCTTTTAGGTTTATGTGGCATTTTCTATAATTAAAGTAAAATGGATAATTTTTATATAATTTGACATGACATAATTTCTTTAGCATCGGACTACCCTAAGACAAATATGATCACATCTTTCATTTGGTTCTTCCACTTTTCCATCGTCATTAAAGATGATTTGAGGCTGAAATTTTTCTAACTTTGCAACCTCAAAAAAAAAAATTGAACGAATTGCAAATATCATATGTATTTCACCCTTAAATAAACATATAGATTTAAAAGTTAAGTTACCCGCAATAACATGTATATCTAAAAGCTAGGACGCTAAACAAAAAATCTGTAACACTCTAATTCTAAAATAAACTACACATTATTTTTTTAAACCATGACAATTTGAATAGAAACATGAACATGAGATGCATTTTACAACTCAAAGAACATAGTAAGTGTGATATACATTTTTAACAAAAAACTGCAATTCGTAATATTTAATTTTAAAAGTGCTATTGTATGGTGTAAAAGTCAACTATGTTATAATTGTCATAGTTGTTTTATTTGAAACTACAATTAAGTCAAAAAGTATTATGTTTTATGATACATTCTGTAATATCATAATCTAGAAAAATATTGAATTATGATTTTGGAAGCTACCCAATCATGGTGGCATGCAATTCGTTTTTGGCAGTGCAACTGTGCAACTCAAATAAAACCTAATGATGAAAGCAAGCCAACACTTTTGTTCAATCTTTTCTTATTTTTCAATGGTGGGTTCTACCTCTTGTCTCCCAATTGTCTCTTGTTTTCTTCTTTTTGGAACTTTCTAAAATCTCAACAAACTTAAGGACCAAAAAATGTAATTTCTTTTTACTTTTTATATTTTGATTTCTGAATCATCGTACTTGTATTTAGAAGAATTCCAAATGATAGATGATTTTTTTTTTGAACGGCTGAGATAATTAAAAACAAAGCTCGAGTAATAAGCTAGAACATAAAATAAATAAAAAAAACATACAAGATTCTTAAAACTTATCCTATGTTTCTCCTGAACTTTAAAGTATGAGAAATAAGTTCATAAAAAGTTAGATTTGTTGTAACTTGATGCAATTTTGGAAATCGGCTTTTGTAGAGAAGAACTTCAAGTATATACTAACATTCTTATGGTCGATATTTGCTTTACACAAAACAAGACTATGTAAGACTAGATGTCAAGGGTCCTATAGTCGGTCCACAATCCTATAAGCGGACACAAAGGCTTTTGAGGTTCATTACGTGGTGGTGTAGGATTTAAAAGTGATACCGTGTAACAATGATTAAAAGTCGATACTTGAGTCATGAAACAAAACTTGCAAAAAGTATGAATTTGTGCTACTATGATATATCATTAATAACTAAGCAAAAAGGTAGAGGTTACCCAAATAACTTTCAAATTTAGATAAAGTCGTGTTGTACAATTATTAACAGCTTACTATCACTTCAAATTTAGATACTTTTTGATGTGAAATCGTCATAGAAACCTTTATATGTCAGGGCTAATTAACGATTAAGTCGTGAATTTAGTTGTTTGAACAGGAAATGACAAACAAAACTTGCAATTGTTTACATATTTGGAATTTTAACCGGTAACTAAGTCACTAACCAGTAAAAGCAACATACAATGGTTTTTTCCAAAAATTGGATCAAAATTTATTGGTTTTTCTAAATATAACTATCTTTGTGATTTTACTTTAATTTTATTTAATCATCATAATGTATTCTTGCTGACTACGGACGATTTCTTCTCTACCAGCAGGATCAAACACCAAAGATCAATCAAACCGAGGGTATTTGATTCCTAATGGCGCATTACACTAATTAGGAGTGGTGAATTGGGAATAATCAAACAAGTGGGTGTAGGAAGACTAGCCCTAATCACCAATATGTTAAGAAGGTATCAACAACGATCTACCTTATGAATTTTCCTAAGGAACTGGATGTCAAGGAGCCGTGGAAAATGTGAATGATTAAAAATTCAAGGGCTGCCATTGTGTACATGGACGCTTGCTTCGTGCAAAAAGGTTGCAGGGTTATATGGTGTTGTTTTTTGTTTATAGATAGTAAACATGGATAAAAATAAAAGTTGTGGTAGAGGGAGTTAATTCCAACACTGTAATAATTTTCCGTTAATTTGTATCCATTGGGTATAAAAAAAATTAATTTTTAAAATTTAAATAAATTCATAGTTACTTATAAATACTAATACTTTTATACATATTTCACACTACAAACATATCCATTTCTTTTTCTATACTCTCAAATTTTCATCAACTTATTATAAATCAAAATCAAAATCAAAATACTTCAACCATTCCAAACACCCTAATAATTTGTACGCATATATTGGTCCGTGTTTTAATTTTTACGTATTTTTAATTTCTAATGTAGGTTTTTTAATTTAATTTTATTTATTAGTAAAATGCTTATTTGGTTTTGAAAATTATGTATTTTTTATTTAATGTAATATCAAAAATAAAAATATAAAAATATAAAAGAGATGGAATGGTAACTATTTTCAAGGATTTGTGGTATGGTATTAGGGGTATTGTGATCATACCCCTTCACCTAAAAGTGGAGAGAGTTCATCCCTCTCAACCCTCCTAACCAACATGTCACATAAGTACCCATACCAACATTTCTCTTTCTTTTCACTTCCAACCTTCTCAACCCACAACATATATAAATCTATCTATCTCAACACATCTTTTAGTACAATTTTTAATGCATATGGTACAAGTGGTGAGAAGAGAGAAGAGTGTGGGAGCAAGGGGTTGAGTAAGCCGTTGGACACCCATCTTTCGCCAGAAGTGTTAAAAAAAAAACCGAAACCGATTAAATCGACCGAACTGAATAAGGTTTGGTTTATTTGGTTCTTGTTCAGTTTTTGGCAATGTTTTAAAACCCGGGTCGACCGGGCCGGTTCAACCGGTTGGACTGTGACCCGGGGTAGAAGGCGGGTCAATTGTGAACGGTTTTTTGTAAAAATACGGACCGGATCGAACCGGCCGGGTTTCCTCTAAACCGCGGTTCGACCGCTTATGTTGAACCGGTTCAAACCGGATTGACCCGTTTTAATAGGGTTTGGATAGTTGGATACAAATAGCGAACGTCAAAACAACGAGCCGTTTGTGGTTTCTTCAATGTTTCTCAATGTTTAAACTTCGTGGACATCAAATTATTGGTTTTATATGTTTATGCATTATGCAGGAAAGTAAAAATATATAAAAATAGAAAAATACCATAAACCGGGTTGACCCAGCGGTTCAACCGGTTGACCCGTGAACCGGTCATCACACCGGGTCAACTAAAAACCCGGATTTTTAAAACATTGGTTTTTGGTTTAACCGATTCTCAACTTAAAATATTCATTGTTAGTTTTGAGTTCTTATATTTTAAAAATGTGGAGGCATAAACTTAGTAGCAAATAGTTCTTAGATACTGACTAATGATGAGAGCCCACAATTTACAATCTTCAATTCGTGTAACTATGTGAACCAAACATTTATTTCAGGATTTATATGTATGGGTGGTCCTTAGTTGGCACAGTTTGTCCACATGGCATACATACCATGTTGATGTGGCATCTGTGTATAATAAAAATTATATTTTTATAATTTATTATTAGTATAAAATTATTTATTTCCTACTACTACTACTATTATTATTATTATTATTATTATTATTATTATTATTATTATTATTATCATGATTTAAAAGAAAAACCCGAAAGATGTGATGTTGCTTGTAACATAGTTGTAAACTACTAGCGACTTGAGATGGATGTCGATGTGATGACAGCCACATCACATAGTATTAGTTTGTACCATAAATTATTGATACGATTATTGACAAATATATTTTTTTATATGCGTCATTGTATTTGGCTTTCTATGCAATGGGAAAATGATATCAATGACGCATCATTTGTTACATAGTTACAATTTAAACTTTATATAACTTGTTACTAACTTACCATATGCGCATCAGTCTTCTTGCTATATGAAATATCATGGAATCATGAAATCCACACTTCTGCCAGATGCCTTGATGAATATGATAAAAAAAAAAAAAAAAAAAAAGGAACACTTACAAAAATTACTAATTAAAAAACAAAATCCATTAGTAAGGTGTTTACAAAAAAAAAAAAAAAAAAAAAAAAAAAAAAAAAAAAAAACGTACCATGTAGGGGTGCCTAAGTATATAGACACCATAGATGTTGGTTGTTGTATGGTGTTGGGAAAGTTGTAGCTGCACATGTGGAATATTTCTCCAACTCTCACCAAGAGCAGGCTTCAAACTACCTCCTTCTCCACTAACCATATGATTTGTAACCTTTTAAATATGTTTAAAAAAAAGTTAATTAGGGACTTAATGGGAAAAGTCTGTATTAAGTCAAAGTTAAGTTGCTGACTAAAACTGCAATGTTGTGTTGGTGTGATAAGTCCTTGAGAAGATATCCAACAGAAACCATTAATGCATGTCCTTGAGCATTACTGCCTCCTAGAATTGGAGCAATGAGTGATGATATTGAATCAATGATTATCAGCTCTATTGTCTTCTTCTGCATTAGGATATACTAGTAGTTTTTATAACTTTTAATCATATAACAGAAATGAAAATTTTTAATAAATGGTGAAGAAAATGATATGAAACCTGAGAATGAGATTTTAAATTTAACTTTAGTTGATGAAGAAGGTCTAGCAGGGCATATATGTCAAAAACCGCATGGCATTCTATGTGTCTCATTGCTTCTTTAACAGCTCCATTCACCTAAACATATACAGTTTTTTTTTGTTTAATCTAAAAAAATATAGTATTAAGTTTTGTAAATATATCTTCTAGTTCAGTTACATAAAAAAGAAAATTATCCAGAAACTTCCATGGACAGATAGTCATTTAACCTTTATATAAGATAATAAGAATGGTGTCACACATGTGATTTTGTAGCAAAATAGTCATATTGAAAGCAGTATTTTTCCATTTTTATGTAGCAAATTACTTTTTTTTGTCCATGTGCTATAGTTACTAAAACACATTCTGAACAGTGAATTAGGGACCAAAAAGTATAAAAAAAATGTTGGACAAAATCCAAAATATAACTACAGCACAGGAACGGAAAACATAATTTACTCTATATAAACAACATTATTCACAGTAAATTACATTTTTGGCCCATGAATATACCAGATTTAGCAATTTTGTTCCCTATGTTGTCTTAATTAACAACCTAGATGTCAAAACCCGAAAAAAACCATACTCTACAGGGACCAAATTTGTACTTTTTTCTTATATTTGAATTAAGGTTTATAACATTGCAAAAATGGTCATTTTTGAAAAACATTAACAGGTAAATTAGAAACTAAGAGAGTTACAAATTTGGTATCAGTGGTCTACCTTTTTCTTGGGTTTGGTACAAGGGCAAAATGGTCATTTTAAAAAGTTGGACACCTTACTTTGGAGAAAAGAAGTAATTAGAATAACCAAACAAAAAGGACAAAAAATAAAAAACAAAAAAAAAATACAACAAAAACAAAAATTACCTTATTCTCCTCTGAACCAGATATATGGGTAACCATTTGTTTAATCCGTGTAGGAGAAAATGAGTTTCCCGAGTCAAAAAAGACGACATTACCCTTCTTTACAGCCACATTTGAGGCAACTTGAAAGCAAACCTATACAATTGTCCGAAATCATAATATAAAAATTTATCGGTTTCATGATAAACAGAATGAAAAAAAATATATTAATATCTTTTTGTAATGACATGGATTTAATTCTAACTTGTGTTTTTCCAGATGATGATGGGCCCACTAGCTCTGTTACATGTCCCTCACGCAATCCACCTTGGAGTAACACGTCAAAGCTGTTCATTTATATTAACTCAATAACTTTTCTTGATGGCATTTCCGTAATTAAATAAAAAAAACCATTATTATTAAATATTAATATTAATATATATACCTTTCAGATCCTGTTGATATATAATGTTTATTCTGTTCTCTATCTTCCAATAACATCAAACCATTCATCCATGGTTGATGGTAGGTTTCAGTAATCAAGACAAGTTGGTTGATACCCTGTTGAAATGTAACATTAGAGTTAGAGTTAAATGCAAGAAATAGCAATGTACTTTTGTTGATTTGTTTATATCCAATTTTATAGCATTGCACTTTGAAAAATATATCCAATTATAGCAATGTAAGAATAAATATGGGGGTAATATGAAGAAAAAGCAATGTAGTTTCACTTTCATTGATTTGTTTGATGTTTATCATAGCATCTTACTTTCATTTCTTATGATAAAATCATTTTACTTTAAAAAATATACAACTAATACAAAGCGATTTTCAGTGCTATAATAACAAAACAAAAAAAAAGGTTGAAAGGACTATGCTCAAATTAGACAGATTTTCCAAAATACAAAAACTTATTAAGAAATATATGAAAGTATATTGCTATTTCTTGCATTTAAACCTTAGATATAGAAGAAAATAAAGGCGTGTGTTGGAACAAACTTTAGCTAAAAATTAACCTGTTTTAATCTATCTGAATTAGAGAGTTTGTCTGCAGAAGCCATCAACATGGACACATCATGAACTAAGAAATCTTCAACTGTGGAAAGGAAAAACACTGAGTAGGTTCATCCTCCTGACAATTCTGATAATTGTACATGTATATCAGACAGGTAAGAGGAATCTTTCAGGAATGGGATGTTGTTATGTTATGGAAGGATGATGAAAAGAGTTGCAAAATTAAATAAGAATGAACAAAATATGTATATCTTTAACCTAGAATCTCTATTTAATCCAATCAAGAATGATATCTACTTTCTCCTAATTCCTATCCACAGAGTTTCCTAAGTATGGAATACTAATGTAGCTATGGAAATACATATACGCCAATCCTCAAAGATCTAAAAGAAGAAATTGCCAAATAATCTTATTCTAAAATGAACCTACAGTAAGATCAAACCCATTTTTAAGGCCAATCCTCAAAAACTAAACTCACATAAACTCGTAAAAGCCTCCAATTATCACAATCCTAAGCCTATTAGTTCATATTTTAACAGAAAAGTATGGGAGATTAAATCAGAGCCTAAATTAGTTCATAAAAAACGAACCGATCTAACTTACAACCAAACAACTGTCTAAAGTGATCCAACCTAAGGACACACACACGTATAACACGTCAAATGCTAGAGACAGAGCCTGCAATTACCAGTTACTTCATCTATGATCCGCTAGATAAAACCCTACTAGTATCTAATATCCACAGACATACAACAAAAAGAACAGTTCATACGGAATCAAGAACCTAATATCTGGATCGTGCGAAACAAAGAGAGGTTTATGAATTTACGGCTAGAAAATGAACGCAAGCAGTAAACGACAGAAAGTGTTTATAACTTACCGGAAAAAATGCCGCGAGATGCACAGAATTGAAGAAAGTTGGCGTCGATTATGTGATAGTCCTCCTCCAGAGATTTCAATGCACCCATCACTCCGTCGCCAACCAAGGCGTTTCGAATTAAGACCCCTACTCCTAAAATAAGTTCACCCCTTCCATAACAAACTGTACAATTTACAAAATGTCAATTTTATTTTTATTTTATTATTTATTTATTTATATTTATTTTTTGCCTGAAAACTGTTTTCAGTTTTTTTTTTTTTTTAATTTACAGAAAAATGATTTAAGTTTTTCTTTTCACTAGAAAATTTATAAAAAATGACTTGGCTTTTTATTTATTTTCCATTTAAAAAATTAGAAAATATGTTATTGATATGTATTACCTATCAGATTTTTTTTCATTTTTTTTTATTTCAAATAATATAATACTTAATATATTTGAAAATAAAATAAAATAAATTTTTATGTTTTAATATATGGGATAGGTAATGTAAGATATTTATGGAGAAAAAAAAAACATTATCTTAACCAGTTACATGATTTTCATTATGACTATCTTAACTATTAGTATATCATCTCTCGTTAGCATCTTTGTGTCAAAAAGCTCTCATTTCAAATTGACCATCTATGTCAGCGACTTGATTATAATTGGATATAATTTGTGCAGTTAAACATGGTTATTGAGATAAAGTACAAGAAAAAATATTAGAATACGAAATTAAAACAACATTTCCATCTCTATCCCCAACTGGCCAACTGTGCTTTTTTCCATGGAAAAAAAATGAAAATCTCAATATACCTGAGCTGAGCTACCACATATAGAAAAATAGCAGAAACAACAATGGCAAGAGAGAAAGACTAGAAAATGGTGCAAAAAAACATCCTATTATCAGAAAAAACCAAACCAATCCAATCCAAAACACCAAAACTATTTGAAGCAACCATATCCATAAACCATAATCCAAAAATTATTAAGTAGTAATAATGCTAACCATTATTCTACCAGAAGTAAAAAAGACAAAACACCTAAAAAGTAACACCCATAGCTTTCTCATTTCGATGGTGCAAAAAAGATTTCACTGTTCATCCTCTTGGAACGGAATGTCTTCTCCACATCAGCACTCACATTAAACGAAGCCTGCAACACCTCAGGAGACAACGCCTTCCACGCCGATGTTCTTCCAGCCATATGAGTGAATATCGGACTGCAAATTTTATAATAAAAAAAAAACATTTAATACATTTTTCAATATATGTCATAGTTGTGTCATGTGTCATGTCATGTATTATGATGGATTGAAAGTTTGAAAGACAAAAAACTTACTTGGGAGTAGAAATGATGGAGAACCATTCCAGCCCTTCATTATCAGAAATCTTGGAAACGACAAAGAACCTAGGAACAATGAACAACATCCCAGCCTTCACAGTTGTTTCAAGAACACGTTTCCCATCAACACCAACGACTTGAGCGCGACCACTTCCCCTCACAATGTAAGTCACTTGAAGAGCAGAATCACACGAGAATCCAGGAGAACACATTGCATTCCCATCAAGCCTCACAAGATCAGCTCCTAATCCAACTTCACCAACCAAAGGCAAGTTCTTTGTGTTCAAAACAACCACCCTACCACCTCCCTTAATGTCGACATCCAATGGAGCTTCCAAACAGTTCAATGCCATTCCGGATCTGTGGTCTTTGTTTGGTTCCGGCATCTTGACTCCGGAATCGACTTTGATGATTCCGTTTCCGGTTTGTGAACTGACAAGGGATTTGGCAGTGGATTCGTCTACGTCCCAAGCACGACAGACGAATTCCATTGAGAAACCGGTGAAGATGCCATTGGATCCGGTTAGGAAGAAGTCGGTGAAAGATCCGGGTTTGTGGGCGGTTTTGGTGTCGCCTAAGAAGAGGACTTGAAGCTCTGTGTCTTCTTTGTTGTACCACCATGTGATTACACCGAAAGGGAGGGCTATGGTGTCGCCTGTTTTGATTGCTAGGACTTTCTCTTCTTTCTCAGGGAGAACAATGCCAGCGACTCCATTGCCTTTCAAAAGAAAATTAATTAATTGTATGTGTGTGAATCAAGAGTCGGCAAACATAACATGAAAGAAAGGATTATACAGAATTCAACAGTGAAACAAACAATCCAAAACAAGATGGATAACTAATAAGAGTTGACTTTGCTTACACTAAATAATAAGAAATTAGAAGTCAATAGAAAAGTAAATAGTATCCACTAATCGGGAATCGGAGATGCAGAGCAAGGTTGTGAGGGATATTTTAATAATTTTTCCAGATCTCTTTTGGATTTTCTCAATTTATAATCGAAATCGTGTTTGATCGGATCATATAACTATTGAAAAATAAGAAGATGATAACATTGGAGAAAGATCGAAACTATCATTTAGGTATCAAATAAACGTGAGTCTAGTGAATCAGCGTGAAGACAAAAGAAATATATCTAAATAAACAGGAATTCAGAAGTCGGAACGAAGAAATGATAGTATGATAGTAACGAATCCGGAAAATGTGTATTGTATCGAGTGTGTGGTTGTGTGTCGGTGGTGAATTCAGATCGACGTGATATCGATCTAACAGTACTAGGAATCAAGTTACTTATCAAAAACAGAAACTAAACAATTGCGATTAAAAAACCTAATCATGATCAAACAACAACAATCAACCGAATCAATCATCGTCAAACAGAATTCGAATGGATCAATAAAATAATTCAAATCACAGAACTGAAATCGCTACCTTGAAGAACGTAAGCAACCTTAGCAGAATCGGAATAGCGAGGGAGAGCAAGACCGCCTTTCTCAAGAAGAAGTTTACCAGCACCGATGTTACCTTGGCGGAGCATAGGGAGTTCATTGGGGCACCATGCATGATACGATCCTCCGGCACCTCCGTATGACTTCTTAGGCATTTTTGGTGACAAATCGATATCCATTTTCCGATACTGCAACAAGGATCACGATTCGAATTTTGATCGATTATCGAAGAGAATTGGGATTATGTGATGGAAGGTTGGTGAAGGGAAGTGATCAGATGGTGCATTTATAGTGAAATGGGGGAGAGATTGTGTGTTTCTTTGTGTAACAAACTCGGATGAATAAATGGGGAATGTGGAAAATCGAGACTCAGTAAATAAAAATGATTTATTTTTAGAGTGTGTATATGGAGATAAAATCAATTCAAATTTTAACTAAAACTTTACATTCACTTATCCATATCCATATCCATATCAATAATTCAAATATTTCAAATTTTAAACTTTATCCATAATTTAATCCAACTTTTCATAAAAACAAAAAAAAAAGTTATTCGTATAATTAATTTTTCTTATTTTTTTTAATTATAAAACTATAAAAAGTATATATTATATCAGAACAAACAAAATATTCGTTTAAATATAAAAAAGAAAATGTATAAAACATGTGATAATAGTTTATAAACTTTATTAATAGATAACTTTAAAGAAAATAAAAATATAAAGCGGCCAACACGCCATGTGTCAATGGATGGAAATGGAATCTACCTAAAATTGGACAACGGTCCATTTTCTTTCTGTAACTGATTTTATTTTGTGTTATTGTATAATTGGCCATCATCAAGTAAATATATAACTGATAAATTATGCTAAACTTATTAATTACTTTTTAACATTTCAGGAAAAAAAAATAATGATTTTTCGAAAATGATCATCAAGTTTGCATATACACCAACGAAGTTGGCAAAATATCTTCGAAATCACCAAGACAATAAGTTTTGGTGATTTTTTAAGATTGATTTGTCAATTTGGTAGGACCAACCTATCAAATTGGTGAATCCCACGATTTAAAGGTATAGAAACCATAAATTTCGTCCATCTAACTTCATTTTACAAAATAAACAGATGAAATTCAAATTTTTCTTAATTATCATTTTCAAACACATAACTCTTCGTAACTCTCATGTTACTCATAGATATTGATCTTGTTTTAAAGATACTATTTTAAATTATTTGAAATTTTGATTGGTTTTATTTTAAAGTGTTTGCTTCTTTGTAGTTTTGCATTATTGCAATAGTTGATTTTCTAACTAAGAGAAGATGATTCCGCAAGCATCACATGCTAAATCTTCATCTTTTAACTAAAAATGTGACCAAAAAATGAAATTTATAATGTGGTATCTTTGAAAAATACAGGTTGAAATCTTCATCTTGAATAATCAAATGTTGAAATTAAAGGTTGAAATTAAATCAGATTGAACCACAAGGAACCACAAGTAGGCGGTGATATTTTTGTAATTAAATGGAACTTTGGGATTAGAATAAGGCACGGAGGGGCAGTAATGGAATTTTACATTCTATTTCATTCAACTCGGAAAAAACACTCGGTATTCTTCTAAATCTTTTTTATTCTGATTCATAAAACCATAATCTCAATACGAACACTAAAACTCGTTTGATTCAATCTCGATCATAAACATCTTTTGTTTCCTTCATATTCAGATTTGAACGCTTTGATTTTATCAACCTTTCATTCTGATTTTGATTCTGAAATTGCTCGAGCATCAATTGTTCATGAATCAAAAGAAATCCAAATTTCTTATTCCAACAAATTGATACAGAATCGGATTCAGATTAATTCATTCCAGGTAATGTATAATAATATAATTTATCTGCATCATGATTCAAACCTTTCTTCGTTTTTATCACGTACAAAACCCTCCGCCTCGATAAACACTAAAAATCATTGTTTTTTCCTGATCTACAGTTCGATTGAAGAACTGGTAAATCAAGATTAAGTTTTTCTTTCAACCATCAAATTCCTCTCATGCTTAAACATTATGATTACTCCCATTCTGATTACATGAGAGTTTTGCGATTGAAGAACCCTAAAAATCCTCTTATTCACCCTTATTCATATTTTCAACTTTGTGATTCTTATTATGTTCCCTAATCAAGCCTTCAATCACCTAACATTACATAATCAAAGAAATCGGATTAAGATCTTAAGAATGTTTGGTTCAACATAATCAGATTCTGTTTCTAATTCTCATATAAAATCTTTTTTTTTTACTTCACTTCATATCTACTCCTAATAACTATTTTTTGTGTCAAATAAGTCAAAGGAAATGTGAATAAACCATGATATATCTTTTTGTATATAGTTTTCTTCAAATTTTGAAATTTGAATGTCTAATATTCTACAGATTCTATGAATTTGTAATGACAATGCATAATATTCTATATATTTTAGTATCATATTCTACATATATGCACTAGTTAAACACCTTGTAATTCTACATAAACCTTGCACTTCCATGAAGTACAGTATGCTAGATATTTTAAAATATAAATACGTAATATTCTAATTATTTTATAAATTGTAAAGTGGAAGTATAGTATTCTACATATGTTAATATAATATTCTATATCTGCATATTTTTTGTGGTATGTGCAATATTCTGTATATGTTAGTATAATCTTCTATATATTCTGAATATGTATTCTTGTTCTTTAACACTTTCTCCCAATATTTCATGTACATCACAGTCCTTTGCTAAACAGGCTGCGAACTGATGATTAATTTCTAAAAGCTTCATTGAATTGAATGTATGATATCATATTCTACATATTTGCACCAGTTAAAGGCCTTGCACTTCTATATAAACATTGAACTTCAACGCAGTACAAAATCCTATATATTTCAAAATATGAATTGTTATTACGTGATAGTTTGATAAGTCATATAGTACTTCTTAATTTGATCCATATGTTACTTTGTTTGATTATTTAGATGATTGAGTAAAAATATTAGTAAAATAGTGTTTGGTAACTTAATATTCTAGGTGTTCTAATTTGTTAAGTTAGGTGTTACTTCATAATTTGGGTTCGGGTGTTATTTTATTGATTAATCAGATATTACTGTTTACTTTGATAAATCAGAACTAATTCATACACCAATGACTTTGTTGTGTAAAGTTAATATGTATATGTAGCACATTCTAACATTCTATATTTTCTGTTATCATAACTTGATGTATTATTCAAAGAACAGTTCTTTATACTTTGGAGAATGTATGATATTGATTATTATTAAAATGAAGTATATGGTTAATAATGTTAATATTATAATATTCTAGATTTTATTTTATCATAACTTAATGTATAATTCAAAGAAAGTCCTTTTATATTTTATTTGGAGAGTCTATGATGTTGCTTATTATTAGAATGTAGTTTACGCTTTATAATAGCAATATTCTAGTTTTTGTCAAGTATTTAATAAACAAATTCACGTATTATTTTGGTTTATGGTATTTAGTGTGAATATTCTAGTATTTTGTTCTAATAGAAGCATGATATATGTTTTGATGTAGATCAAGTGACAAGATATGTTGTTGATACTAAAACTAAGAAAACAATGATAGTTCAATTGATAAACCTTTATCAGAACGTGAAATAAAGGACAATGTATAACATTAAACACATTAACGTATATGGATATTTGATATAAATACTCTAAGCTAACATATTATTAAGTGTTATATTCTTCTTTTTCATGATGTTGATTATTTTTAGAATGTACATATTTTTATATTTGATTTTATATTAGGTTATGAAAGTAATGCATTTGCTTTAGTTTTTTTTTTTTTTTTGTTTTAGTAAAGTTATGATATATGTTTTGATGCAGATAAAATAAGAAGAAAAAAATATTCTAGAAGCTAAATAGTTTGGAAATCTTGATAAAGAAACTTGGTATAAGATGAAGGGAAGAGATTTATGGAAAAAGAAAGCATAAGGTATCCAAAATTGAATTGATAGAAGTTTGGAAATGTGTGGTGATGAATGAAATTCTTACATTGTTACAAAAAGTTTGATTTTTCTTATTACTTGACTGTAGTTTGTATATTCTGGGTATTTTGTTCTGGTAAATATTTGTTTACAATGATTTTACTTTTCATGATGCAGCCAAATTGAATAGTCACCTAAACTAATTGAAGAAACTAAAGAGTTTGCAAAATCTGACCAACTAAAGCATCTTAACTTGGTGCAGGAAGCGATGTAGTGAAATGAAGATTGTTGATCTAATTGATAAAATATTTGCAGGAATTTAATGGGTAATGAATTTGGAGTCTTTTTCTCTTTGAATATTGACTATATTTTCTATATTTTGAATAAGATGTATGGTTGAATGTTTGGTAAACAATAGTTATGGTTTGAAGGTTTGAAGATTGGTGAATATTTAATAAAACAATATTGTGGTTGAACAATAGTTATGTTTTAAATGATAATTACATGTAATCTTCACATATTAGACGAGTTTAAAATTAAATTCTCTATGTAAAATATTCTATTAGAATAATATTGTATGTTTTATGTTATAATAAGTATATGTATAATGATCTAATAGAATAAATTTATGTGTTGTTCGTTATTGTCAATTGATGTTTATGTCTTTTTTAGAATTAATAGTTTATGTCGTGTAATGGTAGTAATATCTTTCACATATTAGACGAGTTTAAAATTAAAGTCTCTATGTAAAATATTCTATCAGAATAATATTGTGTGTTTTATGTAATAATAAGTATATGTATAATATTCTAATATAATAATTGTATGTGTTGTTTGTTATCGTTAATTGATGTTTATATCTTTTTTAGAATTTAAGTCACTATTCAAGGTAAATTTTATAAGTAGAGTGTATGATGTTTAAAATCATTAGAATGTTGTTTAGCAGAGACATGAGGGGGAAAGAAATCATAGGGATCCTAGGAAAATGAAGTAGCTTATGGTGTGTGTTGTTTAGCAGGGTTGTTAGGGAGTTATTAAGGAAGTGACTTATAGGATTTAGGATAATTCTTGAGGAAGTTACAGATAGGTGTGAAGGTAGTATTAGGCCCGTACTACTAAAAGCACATGATCTATACCCGAGTCAAGGAAAGTCTTGATGATTCTAAGAAACTTATAGAGTGTGTTTGCATATTGTATTTCAACATGGTGATGACGCAAGCATGAGGTTCAGAACTTGGTTTCAGTTCGGGCTCTGGTTCCAAACCAATTTATAAGGGATTACGCGAGTCATCGCGTCGAATATTATGCGAGGTATCCTTGATGCGACCCCAGTGATGTTCGGGACGATCAAGGAAGGG